GAGAGAGAGAGAGAGAGAGAGAGAGAGAGAGAGAGTTAAGGAATCAGAGGTAGCAAACACAGAAAAAGACACTCACTTGCGTTCGCTACTGTAAAAGGGAATCGCTATTGCTCCTACAGACAGAGCGACGGCCAAACATGCCTGTCTTGAGAGCAGCAGAATCAAGCATACTCACACCAAGACTTACCCTACATAGGGACGTAATTGTGGTCGGATACATCCAGATCCGATTGTAAATGAGGCCAGGTACACTTAAGAATCAAGTGTGAGTATGCCCTAAGCCGCTTACGTGTCAGAACCAATGCTAGGCTCAAACTGGCAAGCCCGTGTAAAGGAAGAGTACACAACACACACCTGTTCATAAACAAGTCACGGGTTCAAGTCCTGCCCCCACAAGGAAACAGACCTACTCACAAATCCAAAAAGGGACCATACACAAAAAGAGCCTCTTTTTGAATTCGAGTGGGCCCATATGGCCCCATGTACAGAGGCGCCTATACCTCAGTTTGTACACCCATGAGCTGCTGAATATCAAAATACAGATCCAAGTTCGAGTCCAGACCGAATCACATGCACGCAATAACTTAATTATTAATTAATGGTGATTCTGAATTATGTGGGGGCCACGATGGGGCCGATCTGCTCAATGCCAATGCCTCAAGGGTATCTCCTTTTCTTTTCCACAAAAAAAGTTCAAAAACGAAAAATAAAATAAAAGAATGGGGGCAGGTTGAGCTAGAAAAACAACTAAATAAATACAGAAGGGGCAGGTGCAAGACCTTAAAAACTGCCTCTACTGCCTGTGGCTTGTTGATGCTCGGCAAAACCCAAAAAAAAAAACTTCAAATATTTCCCCCCACCCCCGCCCCCACCCCCCACCTTCTTTGTCGCTTGAAATTTTTATTTTCCCCTTTTGTGTTTTGAAGAATTGGTTGAATCATGTTTTGAAGATCTGGCTGAAAAACTGCCGCATGTGCAATGAACTTGGACATACACGCAACTTCGCACAGAGCAAAAAAAGTTAAAAAAACACTGTTTCCATATTCCTAGTATTTCCTAAATAATCACCCTTTCAAAAAACAATCAATGAAGGTCATGTTTTGCTGCAGACTATGTGCCTCGCTCCACTACTGTACATTCTATGCGTATCTGGACTATATATGAACCACAATACATTCATACTGATCCACCATTCGGAGTCCATCTTTATCGGGACATTACAAATTTTCGCTAGCACAGTGAGGCCCTATGCTTCAACAAAAGAAAACATGGAGAGTCGCAGACTGAAGTTGAACTAAAAGTGCCAAAGGGGACACAAAAGAAAAGAACTTAAGACTCTTAAGAGTACAAAAACAAAAAGTTGGAAAAAACTTAAAAAAGTAGAAAAAAAAGGTGTAAACTTAAAACAACATTTTTCAACGCATCAGCATCAGCACTCGCAGAAGTCACGTATGTCACGTATGTTCCTAACAATCCACACTTCCAGCTTCCCCCCCCCCCCCCCCCCGTTCTCCCCCCCCGTTTTCGCCCAACTCTCGCCCTTTTAACTGAGGTACGCATAGGACAGAGAAGCTGCCTTCTTTTTTTTTTTTTTTCGCAGACTCAATTTTCAGCGTTTGCAGAAGTTTATCGCCATGCAATACGAAAGGGAAAACGAAAAAAAAAAAAAAAATAATAAAGAATGAAAACAGATTCATCATTCGTCTATGTTCCTAAGAATCCGCCATCAGCCTTCATTTAAAATTAAAAAAAAAAATAATAATAACACTAGCTTTATATCTTTTCCGCACCATCATTTTTTCAAACAAAATGCTCCTTTCTTTTCTTCTTTTTTTTTTCCTTCTTCTTTTGTTCCTAACAATCCGCCATCACCCTTCTTTTTTTTTTTTTCCCTTTTTTCTCTCCCCCCCCCGCTTTCTGCCTTTTGAACGAAAGTAGGCATAAGACAGAAACTGCCTTTTTCTTTCCATATCAAATTCTCAATTTCCAATTTCCAACCCATTCTTGCTTGGGCCGGGGAGGGGGGGGGAGGGGGAGGGTTAGTTACAAACCACTAATGTCTTTCACCCGAATACAACGTATTTGGGCCATCTGTGAGTCTAAATGCATCAATAATCATTGAACAATGACCGCTTGTTGCATTACAGTGAAGACAGTAGAGCAGGACCATCAAGAAACCCTACAGCACAAGGACAAAGATGCAAAAAACGTGAATCGCTCAGATTGCCACTGAAAAATTCAAAATCCTAAAAGAGGACTAAGACGAGCAGCGTCGGAAAAAAAAAGGCAGTCGAACTACATAAATACAACATGCAAAAAAATTTGAAAAAAATGAAAAAAACAAGATTTGCTTCCACAAAATAACTACATGCCACTCACTCTCTTATCGCATCCACACTCAGCATTCTTTCCTCTCTCTCCAATGCACACAGAATCAACCAAAACGTCGAAAAATATAAAGTTAAAAAAAAAAAACCTCACCCACGAGTCATGACTCGATCAACAAGGAACTCAGAGAAGATCGAACAGAAGCCTCAAAATTTAAACTCCTCCGAGGGAGAATCACCTCCTCCTTGAACCTGCTGAGAAGGTAGGCATCCTACGAACCATCTCCTCGAGACACAAAGAACAAGCTAACGCCTCAAAACTTTTGTCTATCAAGCTTTACTTTTGGCCTCACCACTAGTGCCCAATCTTTCCAATCACTTTCCCGCCAACTTTCACTTTCCCGCCAATTTTCACTTTCCCGCCAACTTTCACTTTCCCGCCAACTTTCACTTTCCCGCCAATTTTCACTTTCCCGCCAACTTTCACCGTCCTGCCAACTTTCACCTTCCCGCCAACAAAAAAAGTGAATTCTCAACGAAGCCTCCCTTTGCATTTCCGGCACTTCGCAATATCATCTGGCCATTCTGGGAAAACTGTCTTTGCACCAAGACGGAAGCAGGGCCACATTCGCGGAGCACTGGCCCCATCAAGATCCAAGCAAAATTCAATTAACAAAAAAAAACACTGACCGAAACCACATCGCGATTGGTCACCCGTTGCATGCTGAAGCCACTCCTCTGCTCTTTCCTCTTCTCCTCTGTAGATCTGCTGAAGCATGAAAGACGCATAAGCACAAGGAACGTGAACCATGGACGAAACGCTGAAAATGTGAAGAAACAAAGGCCGAGACAGGTCGACAAGCATAGCGCATAGCATAAAATATAATAACCCCCTTTTTTAATCCCTATAAAAATCCCTTTTCAGGAAAAATCCGAAAAGAAAACGAGTAGTGAGGATGCAAAACGAGTTCGCAAAAAAAATGGCGCCACCTTGGAAAACCACACAAACTGGGAAAGCCAGAACCGCTCCCAATCAAGGCAAAGACCTAGAAAGGCTGCCACTAGATAACCAGAGAGGTCCACCGGAGATCCACAGGCCTGGGGGGCATATTCTCCACTTCTTCCTCTGTCTCTTGACTTTGACTTTGACTTTGACTTTTCTATCCCAACAAAAAGGGAAAGCCAGAATCCCTCCCAATCGAGGCAAGCGCTAGAATGGGTGCACTAAATGACGACAGAGGCCAACCGAAGATCCACAGGCCTGGGCATCTTCTTGGCTTCTTCCTCCGTCTGTCGAGTTCGCGGCTAGCCATCATCCCAAGGAGAAGGCCATCTTACGGATGCACCAAAGAAGGCGATTAGAGGGAACACCTTTGGCCGTATTGTGGGAGAAGAAGGAGAGGAGAAAGAAGATGAAGGGAACCAATCATTAAGAATCAAAAACGAAACGAAGGTCTCAATGAACAAAACCGGAAAACCGTGGTGAATGCATTCAGCCATCACCATGCAAGAGAGCCAGATGGTAAAAGACACCGATGTGAAAACACTGAAAAGACAACAGCCACAACCAATGATATAAAAGCACTCCATCTGCAAGTGCCTGCACAAAGCCGGCACCTTTGCTGCGAGCATGAGACAGAACTTTGTGCACGAGAAGGACAAAGAGAATGGGTGAGAGTGATATCTGCGAAATCGGCAGTGCTGCTGAATGTTGGACTTCACAAACTTCAAGAAAATACTTCTCCCAATTCGCACGGATCATATTTTTAACATTGTACAATTCCCGGCAAATGCCGGCGTCCTAAACCCTCAATGCCTAACATCCTCCACTTCACTAGCAAATCTCTCTCCCTCTCTCTCTCTCTCTCTCTCTTTGTGTGTGTGTGTGTGCTAGTTAGTGAAACTAACACCTGATCCTAGCCACATACAGTACAAATCATCTCTACGAATAATGACCATCAGAATCCTATACTCTCACAACGGTGTCCTCCTCCTCCTCCTCCTCCCCATCTTCCTCCTCCCCATCTTCCTCCTCCCCGCATCATCATCATCATCATCATCATCATCATCATGTTCCACCCTCTAATTTCTCCTGTAATTCGGGAGAGGACAAAAAAGTGTTAATCACATAAATCGGACAAACTGAATGGACAGAACACAAACCCTGGCTACTTTACACCTGCCTTCCCGTTTGCCCATGATCCTGATCTTCCCATAAGCTAGCTACCAATGCAGACCACGTCGCCGCGAAGACGATGCAAAAATCTGAAACTATTCCTTAGTATTCGTAATCTCAATTCCATCTTCCTCCCTCCTCTGTACCTGTTCATTCTAATGGACCTCCAACGATGACATCAACAGAGAGCAAACGATAATCATCACACCACATTTAAAAGTTAACACCCTCTGCCAAATGACCTCCCCCCCCACTTCCCGACTCCTCCCCCCTCTTCTACCCCTATCATCACATAGTTGCCCATCGACAGATGACATCAACTCAAACAATCTTACCGATTTGAATTACGATGACCGCCAGTACTTCGCCTCCTGGCCTTTGATGCAGGCCCTCCGCCTGTGGAGGGCAGCGGGCGCACAAACCCCATTAGCAACCCATTTCGATTACCTCCCTCTCCTCTTCTCTCCACACTTCCCCATCACCACACGAACCAATTAAAAACGATCTTGACCATGACTTGGAAATCTCGCTCAGGCCACTTCCCAGCATCGCTCCCAATAACTATCCTCATCTGCATCTCTCTCTCTCTCTCTCTCTCTCTCTCTCTCTCTCCCCCCGTCTCACTCTCTGCTCATCTGCATGTCTCAAGCTTCTCTCTCCCTCTCTCTCTCTCTCTCTCTCTCTCT